GAGCCATCTTGTATATTTGTAAATTTTTCATTTAATCCATGGATTTTCTTACGAAACAAAAGCTCTTCTCTTCAGTCTTTGGAAGCAGAGAATTAAATCACACAATGAGATCACACAGCAGCTATAAGAAGTTGGAGTCACACTTTGGGAAACCTATGGGGAAAACTTCAGAGGAATTTCAATTAACAACAAACTTCAAATCCCAGCAGTATGCCAGGAGGAAAAATACATCTCAAATCTCTGTTTCTTTCTTTTTTTTTTAAAAAAAAGGTCACTGTGGTGAAGTGGCAGAAATAATGAAAGCAGATTCAAAGGTTTGATCAGAGAGGACTCTCTGATTGGATCCTACAGGAAGACCACCCAAAACAATGTAGCAAGAAGGCTAAAGTCCTAGTACATACACATCCATCTTTCCCTGCTGTAAAACTAAGCCTAACAGAGTCAGCATAATTGTTGCCACATCAGCTTACTTTCTTCTTACAGCAAGCAGTGGTTAAGCCAAATTTTCTACTACTTCTCCTTTACTAAATGAATTGAGTTTTAATTAGTAGGAAGCAAATTTTACAGTACTGGATAAAAAAAAAGTTAAGGATAAAGCCATATTCCAAAGGTATATACAAATGAATTGAAATTATTTTCAGTCTTAAATTATCCACAGTAACAGGATTTCTTGGTACTAGAAAGAATACCAATAGTTATATGTGTTACTCTTTTTTTTTTTTAATGAAAGTATAAACCCTGAAAACTGTAATTGCTGAGATGAAATTATCAAATGACAACAGTATCTGAATCCATAAGTATCCACTTTTTAGAAAGTGATTTTTTTACAACTATCATCCAAGTCGATCATGAGCAAATAGTAAATGTAATTTTCATTTGCAACTTAGTTTTTGGTCTTCTGCACAATAATATGGTAGTCTGGGGGAAAAAATGCCAAACAGAAAGATAGGGCCCCAGCCTTTATTGGCTTCAGGTTATAGTCCCAGTTAAAACTATGCTTTGATTTAAAATTAAAATCAATTAGGCAATGACTTCATATAGCAAGGTCTCTTAACTACCAACATTTCTATTGCCTCTTGGGCAACAGCACTAACTTTGGGATCTTGGTTCCATCACTTAATTTGTAAGCCTTAATATTTCTCAGGTAAAAACGTAGGGTTTAACTACATGATTGGGAGCTCTGGTAGTATAGTGCCTAAGGCACTTGACTGCTAACCAGAAGACTGGTGGTTCAAACCCACCAGCCACTCCTCGAAAGGAAGGTTGGGTAATCTACTTCTGTAATGATACTGCCTTGGCAACCCAAGGAGGGATCGCTATGAGTTGGGCCCAACTCGACAGCACATAACAATAACAACAACAACAAAACTACATGATCACTAAGGACTTTTTCAACTTTAATGACCTATATTTTTAAGGTATTTTTCATGCATTACCTCTTTTAATCACCAGGGTCATTTGTAGAAAATGAGAGGTAGAGAAGTTAAGTGATCTGTGGAAGATGAAATATGTAGAGAAATCCAAAGGGGGTTTAGAAACCTAATCTCCAGACTCTTGTGTTAGTGCCCGAGTGGCACATGATATATCCATGATTTGGATTTCAGTGAGTGCAGGACAACATGGGTACAGGTTTATATTTGCTGGATTTGTTATATGGGAAAATTATTTCACACCAATGAGCCTTGGCTTCCTTTCCGGTATAAGTGGAACATACCCTTGCACAACCATATAGTATTTAGAATATAATGAAGTCCTTATAGCTAAATTTTAACACAAAATTCAGTAATCAGGCAGTATACAGTCATGTTATTATGTAACAAAAATTTTACCAAGACTATCATATTCTCCACCTGTCAGTTACTACCTCTCATAGATGGAATACCTACCTAGTTACCCCATCTAGGTAGTATACCTAGTTCCTATAACTGACTCCTGACATGCCACACCCACGTTTCTCAGCAGCACAGGGATGTGAGGTCATATAGGACAATAAGTAGAGAACCAAGAGTCTCCTAAATATCTTTTACCATAGAACTTTCAGAAGCAGGAAACTGGCAAAGAACAGAGCCTGTCTGGGCTATTTCCTAGAGTCATTTTCCATAGCACAGAAACAAACAAAATTTTCTGCAATCAATTCTCAATATGAATATATGGTGCTAACTGCAACCCTTATTATTCTAATTATTAATAGTTAACGATTATTGATCTATTATTAGCCTCAATGTATCTCTACATGGTTCCCAAATTCTCTCTCTCTTACCTCTCTTCTAGTTTCACTAGACTCAAAAAGAGGAGATTAAGTTTTGTTTTGTTGGCAGGCTGAAAAAAACTTACACAATATATTTGTTATCAATGCTTTATTGTTGAAAACAAAATTGAAATCCTCTGGCACATAAAACAATTATTTCTACAAAAGGAAAGCCTACAAATCTTGATAATTTATACAAATAACAGTTTCTCAAAAAATAAAATTTTAATTTAGTAAACTTGTGTTGTGCTCTATATTTTTAGCACTGTCTGCAATAATCCACCATAAATCCCTGAGCGGAGACATTTTTGATCATGTTTTAATGCCCTCCCTACCCTCCCCCCTTGGTTGGTCAGTGACTAAGCATGGCCCTGTATAGAAAAAAAGTGTCAGGGACATTTAGTTATTAAAGATCCATGCATTTTATGACACAGCCCAATTATCATTTGTACTTGAGAACTGGATCAACATGGAGTGCCTCTACTGTGCAATCAGTGAACATATTAAGAACCAGTATTTGAAAGGAAGAACAATAAGAATTTAAGAAAAACATAGGTTAAGATCAAGAAGTCATCATAGGTCAATAACTATTTCAATAAATAAAAATGTTAGACATTGAATTATCTCTATATCCTTATATTAAATTCCTTTTTTTTTTCCAATCTTTGTAATTGCCAATGCAGTAGAAGATGAAAAATACACTTTAATCCACCATTTTGGTTTGACTGTGGATTGCTTGTTATTGTTAAGTATTCTGAAAACATAGTGATTTAGTTGTAATTTAGCTTTTGGTCCTTCAATGAAGTGTCTACAAAATAATAAACATATTTATGAGGACCTTCTTATTAATGCATTCAAAAAACTTTTCTCACTACATTTGCCCTTACCACAGGAACATTAATACTGTAAGAACACTACTTTAAATTGTTTAGCCCACTGTATTCAGATACTTAGCAAAACATGTAAATATGGAGAAAAGATATAATATATTTGCATGTCCTGCTTCTCTTCATTGGGGATGCTGATCATACATATGCGGAGTGTGAAAGGAAAAGAGAAAATGGTAACTTAAATTGCAAAGAAGTGGTTTAATGAATTAAGTTTTGTTTTGTTGTTTTGCTACTGTAGAATAATAAATAAATAAATACATAGGGTATGGTAAGGCTACTTTCTCTATGAAGAAGTTATCATGGACTGGTGATCTATAAAGTTAATTTTAGTAACAAAGTCGGATTATGACTCAAAATGTTTCAATAAATGTTCTTTTCTATTTCATTTATAGTCTTTTGCTCATAAAATAATCACTGAAGTGGTTACTAATAAGTAATAAAATAAATACCAAATTTCCTAGTGAATAATACTTTTCAAGTGGAAAAAACACTTGACAAAAAACCTAGAAACACATGGGCTAATTCTACACTCTACTGCAGCTTAAAATAAGTCATTTTTGACATTTTCTGGGAGAGGAACAAAATGAGAATAGGATAAAAAATAATGACTTGAGAACTTTCAGCACTGCTGTCTAGGTACATATTAAAAACCGATTAGCATCCCATACCAACTGTTTCCCAAATGAAAAATCACTGGCAACCCTCATTACACACTCCTTTTGCAAGACTTGATTTTTGAAACAGCAATATTGGGGATTCCCTTTTGTCTTAAAGCTGCTGTTTAGTTACTGGAAGTAGAGAATTTATAAACTTCCTTTGAGTGAATCCTTATGAAAGCATACAGATTCACCAAGAATGGTCTTTCTAAAAGGTCATTTTAGAAGCGTAACAGTTATGCTTGTGTTCCCAGGTGCCTGGGTGCCACAAGCAGTTTGCAATACTAAACTAAGGGTTGGAGGTTCAAATGCACACAGCAGTGGGTGGAAGAAATGCCTGGTGATCTACTTCCATAAAGACTACAACCACAAAAAAACCTATGGAGCAGTTGTACTCTGTAACACTTGGGGTTGCCATGAGTCAGGATTGACTCGACAGCAACAGAAAGAATAATAAAATGAATTTTGCTAGGCAGTTGAGGGAAACAGTGACTGTGAAATAAAAATGCCTGCCTAGTCCCTTTTGCAAACCCAATGTGATGTGTGGGTAGCCCTACTTTCCATATGCTGTTTTAGAACATGAAAATGAAATGATGTTCAAAAGAGAAAAGTGTGTGACATCCAAATAATAAAACATTATGTGCTCTAGTCAGGAAACAATTGCAGATTCTGACAGATCCTGACACAGTATTTTAAAAAGAGAAAAACGTTTTCTAAGCTTTAGAAATTGATAAGCAGGCTGTCCCAAAGAGGAAAGACAGCAGCATTAGGACAACCAGCCAGGTCACTGGGATTCATACTACTTTTCAATCACTCCCCCTTAACACTTGACCTTAACAGTTTACGGTAGCTGAAGGGACACTCTGATTTCCTCTCACAGTGTTTAAGGAGCAATATAATTTTGAAACTAGCTTTTCAAAACGAGCAAAATCTGTAACTTAGACTCTACCTCCTTTTTAAGAATGCCAAAGATCCTATCTTACTTAAGTGCTCTGATTTACAGTCTTATGGGTAACAACTATGTCTGTCAGAAGCTTTCCGATGTTCCCCTTTTTGGTGTTAACAGCTGTGCCAACAGCAAAATGGGTTGTCCCAGAAGTGGTGGCACCCTCAGTGACCTCAGCCTCTGGTCTTGGAGTCCAAACCGAGCTCTTGTCATAGCACTGCTGGGAAGTTCTGTTTGTAAATGAAGCCCGCTTTGAAAACTGGAGGAGGACATGATACTGCACCCCGTGTCAGGTCTTAGAAGTTTTTAGGCCTTGCTTTTCCATGATGTTCCACAGTTTGCGGAGATTGGACTGCGTGATGACATCATCTGGCTTGAGCTGCAGTGCCCGCAGGTAGTTGGCCTCAGCCTTCTGGAGTCTGCCATTGAGGTGCAGAATGGCTCCCAGGTTCATCAGAGCAGCTGGATACTGCAACAAGGGAAAGGAAGGAAAACTATTAAGAGGCCACTTCAAGCTTTCCTTCATGGAAGACCAAAATCTTCATCCACTTATGCAAGTGATTCCCTTATGGCTGCAGGCATTTTATGGAAGCAATTGAGCAATTTTTAAAAGTAGACAAAGATAACCAAGGAGACAAAAGTTTTCAACCAGCTGCTGTGTACTCTGTGTATTAAGAAGGCTAGGTGGACACAGAAATCACTTTTAATTATTTTTTCTTTAATGAGAAAGTAGAGGTTACACATGAATACCTAGTCATTTAGTCAGACTATACTTTTTTGAGAAAAAAGTTAAAAGTTATATAATTTCAGATGGAAAGAATTATTATAATTTTTTCCAACTTAATGCCAAGAAATAAAACATAAAGTTGACAAATGTATATCCACTCACTTTGTTTTCTCTCTTAAACTATCCCAGGCATTTAAATATGTACACACTGCAAAATTTTACTGATATTTTCAGAGGGGAAACAAAAACAACAACAAAATCTGAAGAATCCAAATGTAACCATTAAAATGCTTTCCAAAAAAAAAAAAAAAAAGCTAAATTACTCTGAATACTTACAGCAAGTATACTGAAGTTAAAACATATCAAAATAGATTAAATATGATTCAAAAAATATAATCTTTATAAGAAAAATTTTTATTGTTTGTTAAAATATAGTTAAGTAATTCTCAGTGTGAGAACTTTTAGTAATCAGTGATAATTACAGTACAAAACTATTACATGAAAAGCAAAAGTTAAGAAAAAAAAAAGTATGAGTTATATAACACAAGTTTAACACAAAGGTTTCCATCCCAAAATTCTTAACAGATTAGTTAACAACAAAAGTCTTCCCCAAAGCAAAAGATCTTGCTTTTGCTGCCTGGGAATAATGGCTTTTCTGCTCTTGTCCCTGGAACATTCTGGCTCTACACAAATGCTAATATTTTTGCAGTTACATCAGTGCATATTTCAAATACTGGATAAAATTTAAAATACTGATCTTACAATGATGCTTTTATTTTATAGATGATGTCAAGTATTAATTGTCCTTGCAGCTTTGTGAAAAAAGCTACAATATTTTTACTATTTAGTATTTCACAATGCATGTATTTCTCAGCTGAATTCATGTGACTCCATTATTTACTGTAAAAATAATTATTTTTGAACCAAAAACAATGCCAGGAGAAGGATAGAATAGCTCAGAATAAATCAATGGGGGAAAAATAATCAGTCTGGATTATAAGAAATCTGGGTTTTGTGTTTTTGCTTAACCACTATGACCTTGATGAGGTCTTCTAACATACATGGGATCCTACTCTTTCTTTGTAAACTGTTGAAATAACATCAACTTTTTGCAGCTTGATAGAAAAAGAAGATGAGTAAATAAACAAATAAATGAAGGACACTACTGCATGTACATAGTAGACACATCATAAAGGTCAAGTTCACTTTTCCTTGTTTCATTTTGCTCATGATCTAGCACATGCTTGTAATTTGGTGGCTGTAACCAGAAGGCTGGCGGTTCAAACCCACCAGCCATTCCTCGGAAGGAAGACTGGGCAATCTACTTCCATAGAGATACTGCCTTGGAAACCCGAGGAGAGGTTGCTATGATTGCGAAACAACTCAAAGGCAGTGAATTTGGTTTGGTGGTGGAGCAGTAGTTAAAGCATTGGGTTGTTAAACAAAACCTACCAGTTCAAACTGACCAGGTCTCCACAAGAGAAAGATGAGCAGTCAGTCTGCTTCTGTAAAGATTTATGCTTTGAAAACATTATGGGGGCATTTCTACTCTGTCTAATGGGGTTGCTGTGAGTTGGAATCAGCTTGATGGCAGGATTTGGTTTTGGTTTTTCATATAATCTTTATAATTTTTATTTTAATGGATGTATAATATGTCCCTGATGCATACCAAAATTTTCTTAAGCCTTCAATTACTGAGCATTATTTCCAAATTTTTCTACATCCCTCTCTTTTCCAAAAGTAATGTTGCTAATATAAGCTATTCCTGACCTTCCAAAACCTTTTGGTCAGGATGACTCCATACTTATCAAGAAAAATGCAGATGGTCAATTTCTAATTTTACAAACCAACCCCCCAAAAACTACTTTATACTAAATTATATGTGCAGTTAATAACTACACTGGAAAATGAAAAATAACACCACCTACTTTGTCTTCCTAAAATCATTTTGTTATCTTATCACCCATTATTATCTATGAGTTCTTTGATGTCTGGAAAAATTTCTGAATGATGTTCCTCTCACAGTGCTTAGCACAACTATCAACAAACAGCTACTAAACTGATGGTGCAGTCTGTTCACCGCTTGAATTACTAGAAATGCTAAATAGACAAAATGTTCAAACTTCCTGCTATCCTGAGTGGGAAGAGAGGAAACAGGGAGGGAGAACCCCGGTTGGAGATCATTCCTTTCTAACCAGAAATAGAAGAGGCCTAGTGATGGAGCTGAGAGAAACCAGATGGCTCTGTGGGTAGTCAGTATTTCTTGAGTCATTTTATTATCAAAGTATCTGTACCTAACTATAACTGCAACTCAAGAGGATTATGAAAAACACTCAAAGATTATGAAGTCAAGCTGCTCAGGTTCATATGCTAGTTCCACCACAGGGTCATGCGTACTTGTATACATAGGGTTAGTGCGCAACACCTTAGTTTCTTCTATCAATGGATGATAACAATATTTGCTTCATAGGCTTCCTGAAAAGATTATGTGAGAATACAAACATCATTGTCTTATTACTCTTCTCTTTCTTCCTTCTCATCCCTTCAGAAAGACAAAAGCAGATTCTGCCTGATGGTCTGCCCAAAGTTCCTAAAAGACCACTGCATCCAAAAGCTGAGGAACTGTGAACTGGCTCTATCTTTATCAGCTTTGTAGCTTTTCTTAGATTAAACCTGTAAGAGATCCATGTGAAAACTCATAGTCAGGTACAGCAAGCCACATAAATACATTTTACTTTTATTACTAAATTGCAGCCCTAGGTTCTTCTGTATTTGGAAGGCTTCAAGATCACCCTTCTGACATTAAACAATGAAAAATAATTTTAATATTATTTTAAGAAAACACAATTGAGAAGTTAAATACACTATCAGAAATGAGTTATGACTAATTAAAATGGTGTTTCTGAATGAAGTTAATTTTGCATTATCTATGCTAGTGTGTTACTCACTAAACAGAAGTAATCAAAAAGTGACATTAGAGTTAGTGTGTAGCAGATTTCATGGAAGCTCACGTATACTCATTGTTTCCCCTAAAGAGTAAAAATCTATATAAATTGGAAATATGCATATTTAAGTACATCATTCAATATTTTTAAGTAACTATAGAATTCTATGCTTATTCTTTACAGATTTTAATGTAAAATGTGTATTTTAATAGCATAAAAAAGTTTTTTTCCTTAAAAATTCTACACAGGCAATAATGTTTAATCACATAGGGTCTTGAGTGAATGGAAATTGATGAAATTTACATACAAGTATGCTAAAATGTGACACCACTAACTAAATATATAATGAAGAACTGATTATCCAACCTCATCAAGTTGCACATGAATGAACGCAAATGCATGGGACCTTCAATTTGAGGGGATTATTTTAGAGATTGCTTTTGACCTTCCTTTTCCACTTTGCTCCCACTAAGTCAATCTGTATGCCATTCTCACCAGGGCATCCCCAGCAATGTTCTTTAAATTTCATTTACTCTCTCAATGTCTTCAATCACTACTCTATTTCAGGTCTATTCACTTGACACCTAGCCACTTAAACTGAATCTACCACTCACCAAATATTCACTAAGTCATTTCTATTTGTTCGTCTGGTGAAGAAGATTGACACAGTGTTTGCCCTGGTAAGGCATATAATCTAGTAGAGAAGGCAGATAAAAAGCAAGTTAGGAAACAAGTCCATAAATAATTTCCACCTGTAATTCTATATAAGAAACAAATAGGAAGTGAAATTAGAAAGAATAAAGTTATTAGGGTAGATCTCTCTGAGGAATTAACATTTAAGCTGAATATCTCCTCTATTTCTTTGCATCTGGTCAATTTTTTTTTTTTTAATTGTACTATAGGTGCAAGCTTACAGAGCAGCTTGTTTTACATTCAACATTATATGTACATTTAGTTTCACTCGCCATTTACCATTCCCAACCCTAACCCAGTCTCCTCCCCTCCCTGCCCAGGAATCCTCCCTCCGTGCCCCTCGTAGTTACACACTACTGTGTGTCCTGCCTTTCCTCCATGTGAATGTTGCCCCTCTGGTGTCCCACGGTCTATTGCTCCAAGGGATGCATCTCCATAGAGTATGTGGGAGCATCACCCTGGGTTGAGTGGTCTACATGTATATCTTGTTTACTATTGGGCTGAGAGCCAGCCCCTGGGAGTAGGTGTTTTTCCAGACCCAGAATGTATCCCAGGGCCATAGTATTGGGGTCTCACCAGACTCCATCTGACCAGTAATTCTGGTCATTATTGACTTTTTGGATTTTGTTCCATGTTTTTCTTCCCACTCTATGCAGGATCTCCATATTTGATCCATTCCTGAGTGGTTGGCACTGGTTGCCAGGCACTATCTAGTTCTTCTGGTCTCAAGGGCCATTGTGTCCTAGGGTTGATTGCTTCCAAATGCCCTTGTTTTTTTGCACTCTTCTTCGCTCTGACAATAGGAGACCATTAGCTGCATCTTAGATAGTTGTTTGAAAGCTTTTAAGACCCTAGTCACTACTCATCAATGTAGGATGAGGAACAAAACTTTTGTGTATTTTGTTGTGCCAATTGAGTCTGGTGTCCCCCAATACTATGGTCCTGAGTTGGTAGATCTCTTGGATCTCTCTCCCACCATGTCTGGCTGTCTGTGAGGGATTACTCTATGTCTGTCTTCTTTTGTTTCTGTAAGGATTGAGGGTATTTTGTATCACTGGCATCTGTGCAAGATTAGCCTCTGCTGAATCTATCCTTAGTCTAGAG